AGAAAAGGAGGATCATGGATTCAAGAAATAAATGTAACTGAAAAAAACTGGTATCCCCGGCAGAAGATACATCATGCCAAGAGAAAGTTAGCAGGTGCCAATCCAGCAGTTATTACCTGGTAAGACGTTATTTGTGGAAGAAACAAACACACACCAACACACTGGCGTTTCCGGAAGAATCAATGAACACCATGTGTTTATCCTCGGCCTGTGGTGTCGGCACTGACAGACGGAGGGCCACGGCCTGAGGAGGCCGGCCTCTCCACCGCCCTGCAAGGTCCTAACTCTGGAGCCCTTCCCAGTCTGCCTGGGGTCCCTGCACCGCATTCCTAGACGGTTGCATGAATACCTTTACCTGCCCGAGGAGATTTAGGTTTTAAACTTACTCTTGTCCTTTTTCAGGACGAATGGGACCCTGGCGGCACAGCCCCGAGGTGCGGAGAGCACAGCGGCGGCTCGTTAACGAGTGTGCAAATCGGGTTACCTTTGACGTAGCTTTCCCATTTTTCTGGTTGAGGTCTAAAACAAACAGGAATTTGTAGAAATGATTCACAAGAAGGAAAAAAAGTTGGACTTTCCCATTTAATTAACAATAAAAGGCTGTCTGTGGTCAGTTGTTTTTTGACAAAGGTGCCAAGACCATTTGGTGGTCTTTCCAACAAATGGCAAAGGAATGAAGGTGGAACCTCCACCTCCCACCACATACAAAGTTAATTCAAAGTGGATCAAAGACCTAAGTGTAAGAGCTAAAACTGTAAAATACTTAGGAAGAAACACGGGTAAATCTTTAGGACCTGGGATTTGGCAGTGACAATTTGGCACTCTTAAGTATAACAGTAAAAGCACAAACAAGAAAAGGAAAAAACAGATAAATTCATCAAAATTGAAAACTTTAGTGCTTACCATCAGGAAAGTAAAAATACAGCCCACAGAATGGGAGAAAACATTTGAAAGTCATACAGCTGCTAAGGGACTTGTGTACAGAATACATAAAAAAACTCTTACCGCTGAATAATAAAAAGACCACCCAATTAAAAAATGACCACAGTACCTGAACGGACATTGCTGTAAAGAAGACACACAAATGGCCAACAAGCACATGGGAAGATGCTGGCCATCATTAGTCATCAGATAAATGCAGTGGGATTCCACTTCACACCCACTAGAATTGTTGGAATCAAAAAATGGAACATAGCGAGTTGTTGTGAGGGCTGGAGAAGTCGGAGCCCTCGGTGTTTCTGCTGGGAAGGTAAAATGCTGCAGCCACTGTGGGGAGGTGTGGCAGTTCCTCCAAGAGTTAAACGTGGGGTACCATAGGACCCTGCGTTCCATTCTGGGTACTAACCCAAGCGAAGTAAAAGTGAGTCCACACAGACACCTGAAGACAGGCGTTCCCAGCATCCATCATGTTCTGGTTTCCTGCAGATCGAATCTCTTGGCTTTTAGGTTATGAGCAACAAAATATTCTGCGTGGTGAGAGGGAATGTCTGGTTTGGACAGGAAAAATCATACGTGGTTTGTGTCTTCATGTTTGTTTAATCTTTTTTCCAGTGATGAGTTACTTCTGGGCCATGAGAAGGTGCCTGCCTTTGAGCATTACATCGCTGTAGCGCAAGGAAGCAGAGATCACAACATCCGTGCCCAGGAGCCAAGCAGTGGACTTTCAGAAGAGGCCCAGGTGAAGTGCTTGATTGACCAGGCGACAGACCCCAACATCCTTGGCAGAACTTGGGAAGGGTGGGAGCCCTGGATGTGAGGTCCTGGGGATTCAGCAGAGAAAGGGCATGCGTGTGGAGAGAGTGTCCTAAACTTTGATCCAAGCAATCAGTGGGCTCATCGTCCCGAAGCACCAGAGTTGTATCCCGAGTTTAATCCAGGTCGTGACGAAGAAGTGAATGCTGGCATGGGTGAATGACTAGGCCATAATCATAGATCAGGTTAGGGTTAAAATGGATGTAGAAGGGCAGACTCGTGCAGAGCACGGAATCAAGACCGTAGCAGATCGCGAGTGCTGTGAGCGGACCAAGAGCTGTGGTAGTTCATTGTGCACGTGAGCGTTCTGCGACCTGCCTCACGGCGCCATGGAAATCACACCCAGAAGACTTCGTCCCGGAGACTCTGTGAGAGTCATATTAGCAACACAGGAATAAGGTCAGGCTATGATTATGGCTTATTGTATTTAGAAATGATTCTATTTGACATTTTAGGATATTTTTGTAGGTTTTTCCCTTTCACATTTTTCTCTTCTAGTTTTGACATTTTATGACAGAACTGTTCTCTAGAAGGGGAAGTGTTTAGGAGAGGGAAAAACCTTGGTCTCAGCACTCACTTTTGCTACTCTGATCACAACGGGAAGGTGGATGAAAGAGCTTTGCATCCCAGACTCAGGAAAGCTTCAGAAATTCCAAGTATGAAAGTAGGGATAGCACTAAGCATTCGGGTTCTAGGAAAATAAAAGAAATCCCTGTTTGAAATGAATCCTTATTTGGAGATAAAACATGCGTTCTAGAGCAGCCAGACCAAGTTACAGAAGCAACTTCCTCTGCGCTCGAAGGGCCTCTGTCCCCACCCGGAGCCGATTTCAGGTGGGCTTTGAGCTTTTTGTTACTGTTTTTTTCAAACATGTCTAGTTAGAAACTCTTGTATGATTTTGGGAAATAGTAAATCTTAAGACTAAGGAACATTAAAAGTTTTTTTCCCAAAGTAGTGTATAGCTTTTATGCAGTTTCACAAGCAAACATTTCATCTTATAATTATTTCATTGTATTACTTGACAAACTTATTCTGATAGATACAGGTTGAATGCATTATGGCATTAATAAGAAACGTTTATGGGGACTTCCCCAGTGGTCCAGTGGTTAAGACTCTGTGCTTGCACTGCAGGGGGCTTGGGTTCGATCCCTGGTCGGGGAACTGAGACGTCCAGCATGCTGCACAGCGTGGCTGAAACATTTAAAGAAAAAAAACAAAAAAATTCGAAGTTCCCTTAGGACGGGACGCCTACACACAGCTTCCAATTGACAAAATAAAATCGTGGGGAAAGAGTAAAGATGTAAACTGTAAACACTTTCTAAAATAAAAATTATTTCATCAACTTGCAAGAATGTTTGAAGTGCTGTTGATTAATGACCAGTAACTTCCGCTAAGATAGGTGTTTGTGAACTTTGAAATATTGTCTGTATGTTCAAGTGACAGCCCAGCTGTGGGGTTTGTACTTATTCTCTTTGAACATCATGAAATTGAAGAGTTTAAGGACTGGCTTTTCAAAAAAGCAAAGGCCACTGGAATTTTGATAGGGATCGCACGGAATCTGTGGACGGCTTTAGGTAGTTCTGCTATTTAACGATATTAAGGCTTCCAGTCCATGAACACAGTGTCTTTCCTTTTGTCTTTCATTTCTTTCAGCAGTGTTTTGTCATTTTTACTGGTTTTTGATGTTTCTACTTTTCAGTTTCCTTGTTTAAATTTATTCTTAGTATTCTTTTGGATGCTGCTGTATATTTGTAGATATTATGTATTTACAGAGTTTCCCAATTTCCTTTTTGGATTGTCATTGCTGGTGTAGAGGAACACAGCTGCCTTTGTGTGGTGATCTTTTCTCTTGAAACTTTGCTGGATTAATTTATTAGCTCTAGTACTTATTAGCTATCTGTGGGACTTTTCGTATACAGGATCATGTTGTCTGTGATAGAGATGGTTTTACTTCTGCTTTTCCAATTTGAATATTTTTTCTTTTTTCTTGCCTGATTGCTCTGGCTAGAACATCCAGTACAGTGTTGAATAGCAGTGGTGAAAGAGGGCATCCTTGTCTTGTTTCTGATCTCAGGGGAACGTTTTCATCTTTCACCAGTGAGTGTGGTGTCATCTGTGGGTTTTCAGCAATGTCCTTTGTCGTGCTGAAGAAGTTCCCTTCTAGTCTTAGTTTGCTGTGTGTTTTTATCGTGAGATGGTGTTGAATTTTGTCAAATACTTTTTTTGCATCAGTTGAGATGAACATGTGTTTTTTCTCCTTTGTTAAAGTTGTATATTACAACATTCGATACTAGATTTTCTTTTTAATTTAGTTTTTGGCCGCGTTGGGTCTTCGTTGCTGCACGCGGGCTTTTCTCTGGTTGTGGCAAGCAGGGGCTACTCTTTGTTGCAGAGCACGGGCTCTAGGCGCGTGGGCTCAGTAGTTGTGGCTCGTGGGCTCTAAAGCGCAGGCTCAGTAGTTGTGGCGCAGGGGCTTAGTTGCTCCATGGCATATGGGATCTTTCCAGGCCAGGGCTCGAACCCGTGTCCCCTGCATTGGCAGGCAGATTCTTAACCACTGCGCCACCAGGGAAGCCCGATACTAGATGTTGAATCACCCTTGCAGTGCTGGGACAAATCCCACCTGGCCATGGTGAGAAATCCTTTTACTCTGAGGTTGGATTCCATTTCCTCATATTTTGTTGAGGATCTTTGCATCAGTGCCCATAAGGGTTATTAGTCTATAATTCTCTTATGGAGCCTCTCTGTCTGGCTTTGGTATCAGGGTAATGCTGGGTTATTAGAACGAGTTCGGGAGTGTTCCCTTCTCTGATATTTTCTGGAAGAGTTTGAGAAGGATTGGTGTTAATTCTTCTTTCAGGGTTTGGTACAATTCACCAGTAAAGCCATCCTTTTCTTTTGGGGAGGTTTTTTCTATTACTGATGAAGCCTCTTGTTGCAGATCTTTTCAGATTTTCTATTACTTGAGTCGGTTTTGGTAATTTATGTTTCTAGGAACTTTTGATAAGTTGGCATTTTTATTTCTGTAAGGTAGACGATGTCCCCACTTTCTTTTTTTTTTTTTTTTTTTTTTGTGGTACGCGGGCCTCTCACCGTTGTGGCCTCTCCCGTTGCGGAGCACAGGCTCCGGACGCGCAGGCTTAGCGGCCATGGCTCACGGGCCCAGCCGCTCCGCGGCATGTGGGATCTTCCCGGACCGGGGCACAAACCCATGTCCCCTGCATCGGCAGGCGGACTCTCAACCACTGCGCCACCAGGGAAGCCCCCCACTTTCATTTTTGATATTAGTTATTTGAGTTTTTTTTTTTCTTTTTTTTTCTCAATCAGTCTGGAAAGAGGTGTGTCAATTTTGTTGAGCTCTTCAAGGCACCAGTGTTTGGTTTTGTTGCATCTCTTTTTCTGTGCTCTGTTTTATCTGTGCTTCTAATCTTGACTATTTTCTCAGTTTACTGGCGTTGAGTTTGCTCTTCCTTTCCTTAGTTCCTAAAGGCGTAGCGTTAGGTTACTCATTTGCAATCTTTCTTTTTTAATGTAGGCACTAAAGTGTGGTGAAATGAAATTTATATTTTAAGGCAGGACAAGAAAGATTTAAAAATTCTTCTTGTGTGTGTGTCCGGGTCTCCTCCGTGCCCCCCTAGTGTGCAGTGTGCGTCGCATTGCACATTAACCAGAGCTCCTCAAAGGCGGAGCGGCCGCTCAACCACAAAGATCACTGTTTCCTTTCCTTCTGATGCTAGCAGTGTAACTTCCTGAAAGAATAGCAGTCTTTCCCAGCTCTGTTGGGGTCACGGTGACATGCTGCTCCTTTGTACGTGCTTACCTGGACTATGTATTGTGGTGACGTTTCTATAAAATACCAGTATGTCATTGTTATATACACGATCCTTCGTCTCAAAAATGTCTGACTGTGCCTTGGACTTCTAAACAGGTGGAACAGTTCTCAGAATCCTCAGTTTGGCTTGAATAAAATTCCCTTTTTTCTTTCTTCATTTGATTGTTAATTGAATTTTTGTCAACAAGTCTGACCATTGTTTTTACTACATTCCTTAAATTTTGGTATGCTGTGTTTTTGTTTTCCTTTGTCTCAAAGTGTTTTCTAATTTTCCTCGTGATTTCATTTTTGATTTGGTTGTCTTAAGACTACGTTGTTTAATTTCCACATATTTGGAATCTTTCACTTTTCCTTCTTTATGGATCTCTAGCTTTATTGCATTTGGTTAGAGAAGATATTTCGTAAGATTTTAATCTCTGGAGACTTGTTTGGTGGCCTAACGTGTCTATCCTGGAGAATGTTCCAGCGCACTGAGAGGAGTGTGCTCTGTGGTCGTGGGTGGAGTGTTCTGTGCGTGTCTGTTAGGTCTGGCTGGTATGTGGGGTTCAGGTCCTCTGTTTCCTTATTCTTCTGTCTAGATGTTCTGTGTGCCCATTATTGAAATTGGGGTGTTGAGGTCTTCAGCTGTTAATGTAGGTCTGTTTCTCCCTTCAGTTGTCAAGCTTTGCTTCCTGTATTTGGGTGGGGGTGGGCCCTGCTGTTTGGTGTGTGTATCTTTATAATTGTGATGTCTTTTTGATGGATTGACTTTATCAGTATATAATGCCCCTTTTTGGTCTCCTGTAACAAGTTGTGACTTAAGAGTCTATTTCCTGATACTAGTAGCCATGCCAGCTTTCTTTTTTTGTTTTGTTTTCATTTTATTTTATTATTTTTTTAAACATCTTTATTAGAGTATAATTGCTTTACAATGGTGTGTTTGTTAGTTTCTGCTGTATAACAAAGTGAATCAGCTATATACATATCATGCCAGCTTTCTACTGGTTATTAATGCATGGAAAACATGTTTCCGTACTTTCAATCTGTTTGTGACTTTGGCTCTAAAATGAGTCGCTTGTAGATAGTGTATAATTGGCTTATGCTTTTATAATCCATGTTGCCAGTACCTCTGGTGAATTTAATCTGCTTAAATATAAAGCAACTTCTAAATTAGGGAGTACCTATTTCTATCTTATTTCCATTTGTTTTCTACGAGTTTCATCTTTTCCCCCCAATTTCTTCCAAAACTGTTTCCTTTTGTTTGATTTGGTTTTGCTAATGTATCATTTCAATTCCCACCTTGTTTCCTTTTCTGTGTTTTTAAGTTTTTTCTTAGTGGTTATTCTGATGACTATAATTAATATCCTGAATTGATACTGGTTCCAACAGCTTCGCAAAAACCCTGCTCCTGTACAGCTCTGTCCTCTCTCCCACTTGATGCTGTTATTGTTGCCATCACAAGTTACATCTTAGAATACTGTATCCCCATTAACATTAGATTTATAATTAGTTTTATGCACTTGTCTTTTAAATCATATAAACAAAAAGAGGAGTAACATACCAAGATTTATTTATATAGTTACCGAGATTTCCTTAAACACCCAGCACCAAAAAGATCTCCTCCCGCACTTTGCAGGTTGGTTTTGGGGTGCTCCTTCAGTGCTCAGCCGGGCTGCCTGCGACTCCACTCCAGCTTTCACCTTGGAGCCCAAGGAGTGCTGTGAGTCTCAGTGTTGTCAGTTCTCTTCTGAGCTCGCGTCAGGGTTTGGCGTGCAAATGCACTAGGCAGCCCTCTGAAGCCCTTGTTCCCCCAAGGACCCTCCTCCATAGCCTCCTCCCATCTAGGTTGTTGGTTCTGTCTGCTGCTTGCCCCATCTGCCCATGGATAGCATGGATAGTCTTTAAATGCTTTTGATTCGTGCCTCCTGGAAGTGGCTGGAGCTGAAAGAGCAAAGCAAAGGGAAGGCTCTGTGCCGGCCCCTCAGGTCACTTACCAGACAGGTCAAATGCACAACGACAGCTTTAGAAGAGCAAGGTCCCTATGGCCACCCCACCCCTTGTGCCCAGAACTGGCAACCCACGCCAGGAGCATGGTCACCGCTGACAGCTGGGAGCTGGGGTGGCAGGCAAGTACAGAACAGTGCTACAGCACTCACCAAGTTTTCCCAGCATCTTTCCCCTGGTTTCTGTAAGTATCTGATTTGAATCCAGCATTCCAAAGACGTTGATTCTGCCGTTATTTTGCCAGCTTATTGGTAGCTTCAGTGGAGGTACTGATTCTCAGAGGGCCCTACTCTGCCGTCCTCCATGACATCGCTCAGATGATCTTCTTTGACTCATGGTTGTCAGGAACTTCTAGAGTTCCTGTGTGTAACTACTATTTGCAGACCTGTGGGCAAGGCATAGACGTGCGTTGTATGAGAGGCCAACCATGAGGACTTTAAAGCTGAGAAGGGAAGGTGATGTTTGTATATGAAGATCCGCAGTGTACAGTGAGAGAAATAGCACCCCAAGGGCGCTAGGAAAAGGCTGCCTGTGCCCAGGCCCAAAGGGTCAGGAGTTACTCTCTGGAATAACGCGCTAAAACAGCACTGCTTGATACCCACTTAGTGCAGTGATGGAAATGTTCTAAATCTGTTCAGTATGGCAGCCACATGTGGCCATCAAGCCCTTTAGATGTGGCTAATGTGACTGAACACCTGGATTTTAAGTTATTTAAATTATAGTTGATTCTTGTTCTTCACATTAGTGACGTTCTGTAACATCAACACAGACACTGAACTGGTGAATACTGAACCAGTGCTCCAGGGGGAAATAATTTAGATTATTGGGGGCCTCTGGTCACAGCAGTTTCATTGACTGATCAGTATATAACCTTGTTTTATGTGTGTTATTTATTGTCGTGCTAATGTATTACATCCCTAGGACTGACTGACTTTATAACTGGAAGTTTGTACCTTTTGACCACTCACCCATTTTGCCCATCCCTTGATCCCCACCTCTGACAGCCACACATCTGTTTGTTTGACCTATGAGTTGGTTTTGTTTCGTTTTACATGCCACATATAAGTGAGGTCATACGGTTATTTGTCTTTCCACGTCTGACTTATTTCGCTTAGTGTAATGCCCTCAAGGTCCATCCGTGTTGTCGCAAATGCCAAGATTTCCATTTTTATAGCTGAATAATATTCGTACACACACACAGTTTGCCCTGCTACCCGAAAGTAGAGCGTTCCTGTGAAAACTTTCCTAAGCAAAATGGTATAAAGAGAAGAGCATCCCCCGCTTTTCTGAAGTTCAAATTATGCCACTTTTACAGAAGTCCTACATTAGTACCTGTTTTCACTAACCAAAAGAAATCCAAAGAAGATTTTCGCCTTTATGAAAAAAGCCATTACTGTACTGATGTAAGTCTTTTGTAAAAGCAAAGTGGTATAATGCAAACTTTTGGAAAGCAGGGAGTACCTGTACCACTTTTTCTTTATCCATTTGTCCATTAATGGGATATTCCATGTGTTGGCTATTGTAAATAATGCTACGATAAACACGGGGGTGTGTACGTCTTTTCAAGTTAATGTTTTATTTTCTTTTAATAAATACCCAGAATTGAATTGCTGGATCGTTTGGTAGTTCTGTTTTTAGTTATTTGAGGAAGCTCCATATTGTTTTCTACAGTGGCTGCACCAATTTACATTCCCACCAGCAGTGCACAAGGGTTCCCTCTGCCCACTTTAAACTGTATTGTTTGTTCTTCTGCTGTTGAATTGTATGAGTTCTTTACATATTTTGGATGTTAGCCCCTGATCAAATATATAATTTGCAAATAATTTCTCCCATTTGGTAGGTTGCCTCTTTTTTTGTTGATGGTTTCCTTTGCTGTGCAGAAGCTTTTTAGTTTAACGTAGTTCCACTTGTTTATTTTTGCTTTTGTCGCCAAATTCAAGACAAGACTGCTGTCAAGGAGCTTACCACCTATGTTTTCTTCTAAGTGTGTTACGGTTTTAGGTCTTAATATTTGAGTATTCAATCTACTTCAAGTTAATTTTTGTGAGTGGCGTAAGATAGGTGTCCAGTTTCATTTTTCTTATGTGTTTGTTAACTTTTCTCAACACTGTTTGTTGAAAAGACTTTCCTTTTCCCATTGGACATTCTTGGCTCCCTTATCAAATATTAGTTGACCATATATGTGGGGGGTTAATTCTGAGGTCACTATTCTGTTCCACTGGTCTGTGTGTCTCTTTTTATGCCAGCCCCATAGTGTTTTACTTACTGTTGCTTTCTAGTATACTTTGAAATCAGGAAGTGTGATACATCTGGTTTTGTTTTTCTTTCTCATGACTGCTTTCACTATTTGGGGTCTTTTGTGGTTTCATACAAATTTTAGGATCTTTTCCTTTTTCTGTGAAAAATGCCATTGAGATTTGTATAGAGATTGCATTGAATGAATGGATGGCTTTGGGTAGCATGAAAATTCTAACGATATGAACTCTTCCAACTGATGAATGAACACAGGATGTCCCTCCACTTGTTCGTGTCGTCTTCGGTTTCTTTCAGCAAAGTTATAATTTTCATTTTCATTGTACATCTTTCATTCACTTCCTTGGTTAAATTTATTCCTAGGCATTTTATTGGTTTTGATGTTTCATTCTCAGTGTATAGAAATGAAGCTTATTTCTATGTATTGATTTTTATATCTTGCAAATTTACTGAATTCATTTATTATATCAGTAGTTTCTAAAGTTGAGTCTGTGGGATTTTTAATAGATAAGATTATGTCATTTGCAAACAGTGATAATTTTGCTGTTCTCTTTCAGATTTGGATAGCTTTTCTTGGTCTTGCTTGATTCCTCTAGCTAGGACTGCTAGTACTGTGTTGAACAATTTGTGAGAGTGAATACCCTTGTCTTGTTACTGATCTTAGAGTAAAGGCTTTAATTTTTTTTTTATGCATTGAGCATAATTTTAGCTGTGGGTTTATTGCATATGGCTTTTATTAGGTTGAGGTATTTTCATTCTACCCCCAATATGCTGAAGCTTTTTACTATTATAAAATGATGCTATATTTTGTTAAGTGCATTATCTACATCTGTTGAGATGATTGTGTGACTGTTCCCTTTCATTCTGTTAATGTGGTTTTATCACATTTATTGATTTGTGTATGTTGAACCAGCCCTGTATCCTAGGGAAAAATCTCACTTGATCGTGGTTTATAATCCTTTTAATAAGTTCTTGAATTTGGTTTGCTAATATTTTGTTGAGGAATTTTGCATCTGTGTTCATGAGGAATATTAGTCTAGAGTTCTCTTTTCTTGAAGTGTCCTTATCTGGCTATGGTATCAGAGCAACGCTGGGCCTCGCAGAATGTGTTTGGAAGTGCTCCCTGCTCTTCAGTTTTTCAGGAGTGTTTGAGAATGGTAGGTGGTAATTCTTCACTAAACGTTTGGTAGAATTCTCCAATGAAACCATCTGGTCCTGGTGTTTTCTGTATTGGGAGATTTCTGATTACTCATACAAGCTCCTTACTCATTATTGGCTTGTTCAGACTTTTTCTTTCTGGTTCAGTCTTGATAAGTTGAATCAATCTAGGAACTTACCCATTTCTTCTAGGTTGTCCAATTTGTTGGTGTATACTTGTTTTTAGTAGTCCCTTATGATCCTGTGTATTTCTTTAGTGTCCATTTGAATTTCTTCTCTTACATTTCTGATTTTGAGTCTTCTCCCTTTTTTTCTTAGTTTCACTAAGGATTTGTCAATTTTATCTTTTTGGAAAACCAGCCCTTATTGATCTTTTCTATCATTTTACTCATTTCTATTTCTTTTATTTTGGCTGTGATCTTTATTATTTCCTTCCTTCTGCTAACTTTGCTCTTAATTTATTCTTTTTCTAGTTCTTTAAGGTATAAAGTTGTACTGTTTATTTGTGATCTTAAAATATTAATATATGCATTTTTAACTAAACTTCCCTCACTGAACTGCTTTGGCAGTGCTCCGTAGGTTTGGGTATGCTGTGTTTCATTTGTTTTGAGATAATCTTTGTTCAGGAGTGTGTTGTTTATAGTTTCTACATATTTCTAGATTTTTCAGCTTTTCTCATGTTTTCGATTTCTAGTTTCATACCATGGTGGTCAGAAAACATACTTCATATGATTTCAGTCATCTTAGGTTTTCTAAGACTTGTTTTATGCCCTGTCACATGATCTGTCCTTGAGAGGGTACCATGTGCCATTGATTAGAATGTATCCTGCTGCTGTTGGATGGAATATTCTGTAGGTATCTATCTATCTATTAGGTCCATTTGGCTTAATGTTTGGTTCAAGTCCATCATTTCCTTGTTGAATTTCTTTCTGGGTTATCTATCCTTTGTTCAAAGTGTGGTACTGAGGTCTCCTATGATTATTGTATTATTGTCTGGTTTCCCTTCATTTCTGTTAGTATTTGCCTAACAAACATATTCAGGTCCTTCCATGCTGGGTGCATATATACTTTATACTTATGACTGTTATGTCTACTTGATGGATTGATCTCTTTACAGCATTTACAATGATGACCTTCTTTGACTCTTGTTACCATTTTTGTCATAAAGTGTTTTGTCTGATAAGAGTATAGATACCCTTGTTTTCTTTTGGTTTCCACTTGCACAGAATACTTATTCCTGTCCTGTCACTTTGAGTCTACGTGCGTCCTGAAGGCTCAAGTGGGTCTCTTGTAGGCAGCATATAGTTGAGTCTTTTTAAAAATATATCCAGCCACTTGGTGCCTTTTGATTGGTGAGTTCAGCCCATCTGCATTTAGAGTATTTGTTGATATGTAAGGACTTAACTCCTGCCACCTTAACATTTGCTTTCTGGTTGATTTGTATTTCTGTTGCTTCTCTCCCGGCGCCCCGTGCACCCCCACCCCCCACCCCCACCCCCCAGCCATCTCTGCCTACCTTTGTAAATTTGTTATTCTCTGTGGTGGTATATTCTGTTTCCCCTTTCTTTCTTTGTCTTTTGTGGTTACCATGGGGCTTACATAAAACATCTCAGAGGTAGAACAGTACATTAAGCTGATACTAGTGACTCGAATCAAGATGCTGAACTAGGAGGACACAGAGCTCCGCTCCCCTCCCCTCATGAACACATCAAAAATGCATCTACATGTGGAACAGCTATCACTGAAAACTAGCTGGAGACTGGCAGAAAGACTCCTGTGCAACCCAAGTAAGTCTGTAAGAAAGATCCACATGATTCTTCAGGCGGGAAGGGAAGAGACGTGATCAGGTGAAGACCTGTGCCCGTGGGAGGGGACTCAGAGGAAAAGGGAGATTTACTCGGGCAGACACCCTCCCTGGGGAGTGAGAAGTTGGAGCCACATACTGGGTGCCCAGCCCTGGGGTCCAACAACAGGAAGACGAGTCTCCTTGGCTGGTTGGAAGGCTGTGGGAAGCCTGGAACTCTGCTGGTACGGAGTGCATGGATTTTTACTGGCTCCCAAAGCTGGGCCGAGACGGCAGATTGAAACTGCACTGCTGGCTCACTGGTTTCCTGTGACCAACCCAGTGTGCACCCCAGCCTGAACCAAGCTAACACTCCAGTAGCATCTGCCTTGTGTTGCAGCTCCACAATGGAGTGAGAGCTGCCATGACCAAGGAAGAAGCCTGGCCAACAAACTGCTGTGGTGGCTCAAACCCTAGGTGGCATCTGAGCAGGGAAGGGGCAGCCATTACCGGCAATTGCACAAGGCAGCGCATCAGACGCAGACCAGATCTCTGACGGCAGCCAGACCACACACCCGATGCCCTGGCCCTTGCCAACCGCCCCCCGCCACACACCAGCCCTGCTTGGTCCACACTGGTCCCGTCCGGGACTGAGGGTACCAGTACTGGGAGGGGAAAGAGCACTCAGTGGGAGCTGAGCCAGCGCAGGCCTCACCCCACCCCTGGCTCCGGCTCCAGCTCCTCTGTCTCAAGCCCCACCACCTAAAGCTGACAGCTGCTAAGCACACGCTGAGAGAGTACATGGCTTAGGTTCCAGTCAAATTCAGCTCCCCCACCAAAGCCACTGGACACACACAAACTGTACCAGGGGCGCTTCCCACATAAAGACACCTCTTCAAGACCGCCAGAGGTAACCGTTTCGCCTAATTTAATAGAGACAGACAGAGAAAGATGAGCAAAATGAGCAGAGGAGTTTATCTCAGTTGAAAGAAAGAGCAAGAATTCAATGCATCAAGAACAAGAATGCTAACAGAGATTGGTTCAAGACGGCAGAGTAGAAGGACGCGCGCGCACTCACTCTCACGAGAGCACCGGAATCACAACTAACTGCTGAACAATCATCGACAGGAAGACACCGGAACTCCCCAAAAAAGATACCCCACATCCAAAGACAAAGGAGAAGCCGCAGTGAGATGGTAGGAGGGGTGCAATCATGATAAAATGAAATCCCATAACCGCTGGGTGGGCAACTCACCAACTGGAGAACACTTAGACCACAGAAGTCCACCCACTGGAGTGAAGGTTCTGAGCCCCACATCAGGCTTCCCAACCTGGGGGTCCAGCACCAGGATTTCCCAGAGAATCAGACTTTGAAGGTTCGCGGAATTTGATTGCAGGACTTCAACAGGACTGGGGGAAACAGAGACTCCACTCGTAGAGGGCTCACACAAAGTAGTGTGCGCATCGGGACCCAGGGGAAGGAGCAGTGACCCTGGGGAGACTGAACCAGACCTACCTGCTAGTGTTGGAGGGTCTCCTGCAGAGGCGGGGGGTGGCTGTGGCTCACTGTGGGGACAAGGACACTGGTGGCAGAAGTTCTGGGAAGTACTCCTTGGCATGAGCCCTCCCAGAGTCCGCCATTAGCCCCACCAAAGAGCCTGTAGGCTCCAGTGCTGGGTCACCTCAGGCCAAACAACCAAAAAAAGGGAGGGAACCCAGCCCCACCCATCAGCAGACAGGGGGATTAAAGTTTTACTGAGCTCTGCCCACCAGAGCAACACCCAGCTCTACCCACCACCAGTTCCTCCCATCAGGAAGCTTGCATAAGCCTCTTAGAGAGCCTCATCCACCGGAGGGCAGACAGCAGAAGCAAGAAGAGCTACAATGCTGCAGCCTGTGGAACAAAAACCACATTCACAGAAAGATAAACAAGATGAAAAGGCAGAGGACTATGTACCAGATGAAGGAACAAGCTAAAACCCCAGAAAAACAACGAAATGAAGTGGAGATAGGCATCCTTCCAGAAAAAGAATTCAGAATAATGACAGTAAAGGTGATCCAGGACCTCAGAAAAAGAATGGAGGCAAAGATGGAGGAGATGCAAGAAATGTTTAACAAAGACCTAGAAGAATTAAAGAACAAAGAGGAACAATACAATAACGGAAATGAAAAATACACTAGAAGGAATCAATAGCAGGATAACTGAGGCAGAAGAAAGGCTAAGTGACCTGGAAGACAGAATGGTGGAAATCACTGCCGCAGAACAGAATAGAGAAAAAAGAATGAGAAGAAATGACAGCCTGAGAAACCTCTAGGACAATATTAAATGTACCAATATTCGCATTTTAGGGGTCCCAGAGGAGGAGGGGAGAGAGGGAGAGGGCGAGAGGGAGAAGAGGGGGAGAGGGAGAGGGAGAGGGATTTGAAGAGATTATAGTCAAAAACTTCCCTAACTTGGGAAAGGAAACAGCCACCCAAGTCCAGGAAGCGCAGAGAGTCCCAGGCAGGACAAACCCAAAGAGAAACATGCTGAGACATACAGTAATCAGATTGACACGAATTAAAGAAAAATTATTAAAAGCAACAAGGGGAAAATGACAACATACAAGGGGAGTCCCATAAGGTTACCCCCTGATTTCTCAGCAGAAACTCTACAAGCCAGAAGGGAGTGGCAGGATACATTTAAAGTGATGAAAGGGAAGAACCTACAACCAAGATTACTCTACTCAGCAAGGATTTCATTCAAACTTGATGGAGAAATCAGAAGCTTTACAAACAAGCAAAAGCTAAAAGAATTCTGCACCACCAAACCAGCTCCACAACAAATGCTAAAGGAACTTCTCTAAGTGGGAAACGCAAGAGAAGAAAAGGACCTACAAAAACAAACTCAAAACAATGAAGAAAATGGTAATAGGAACATACGTATCAATAATTACCTTAAGTGTGAATGGATTAATTGCTCCAACCAAAAGACACAGGCTCGCTGAATGGATACAAAAACAAGACCCATATTACATGCTGTCTACAAGAGGCCCACTTCAGACCTAGGGACACATACAGACAAAGTGAGGGGATGGAAAAAGATATTCCAGGCAAACGGACATCAAAAGAAAGCTGGAGTAGCTATACTCATATCAGATAAAATACACTTCAAAATAAAGAATGTTACAAGAGACAAGGAAGGACACTACATAATGATCAAGGGATCAATCCAAGAAGAAAACATAACAATTACATATGCACCCAACACAGGAGCACCTCAATATATAACGCAAATGCTAACAGCTATAAAAGAGGAAATCGACAGTAACACAGTAATAGTGGGTGACTTTAACACCTCACTTACACCAGTGGACAGAAAATTAATAAGGAAACACAAGCTTTAAATGACACAACAGACCAGATAGATTTAATGGATATTTACAGGACATTCCATCCAAAAACACCAGATTACACTTTATTCTCAAGTGCACAAGGAACATTCTCCAGGATAGATCACATCTTGGGCCACAAATCAAGCCTCGGTAAATTTAAGAAAACTGAAATCGTATCAAGCATCTTTTCTGACCACAGCGCTATGAGATTAGAAATCAATTACAGGGGGAAAAAAACCCATAAAAAACACAAACACATGGAGGCTGAACAAATACATTACTAAATAACCAAGAGATCACTGAAGAAATCAGAGGAAATCAAAAAATACCTAGAGACAAATGACAATGAAAACATGACAACCCAAAACCTATGGGATGCAACAAAAGCAGTTCTAAGAGGGAAGTTTATAGCTATACAAGCCTACCTCAAGAAACAAGAAAAATCTCAAATAAATAATTGAACGTTACACCTAAAGGAACTACAGAAAGAACAAACAAAACCCAAAGTTAGCAGAAGTAAAGAAATCATAAAGATCAGAGCAGAAATAAATGAAATAGAAACAAAGAAAACAATAGGAAAGATCAATAAAACTAAAAGCTGGTACTTTGAGAAGATAAACAAAATCGGTAAACCATTAGCCAGACTCATCAAGAAAAAGAGGGAGAGGACTCAATAAAATTAGAAATGAAAAAGGAGACGTTACAACAGACACCGCAGAAATACAAAGCATCCTAAGAGACTACTACAAGCAACTCTATGCCAATAAAATGGACAACCTGGAAGAAATGGACAAATCCTTATGAAGGTATAACCTTCCAAGACTGGACCATAGAAAATATGAACAGACCAATCACAAGTAATGAAGCTGAAACTGTGATTAAAGATCTTCCAGCAAACAAAAGTCCAGGACCAGATGGCTTCACAGGTGAATTCTATCAAACATTTAAAGAAGAGTTAACACCCATCTTTCTCAAACTCTTCCAAAAAATTGCCTAGGGAGGAACACTCCCAAACTCATTCTACGAGGCCACCATCACGCCGATAACAAAGCCAGATAAAGATACTACAAGAAAAGAAAATTACAGGCCAATATCACTGATGAATATAGATGCAAAAATCCTCAACAAAATACTAGCAAACAGAATCCAACAGCACATTAAAAGGATCATACACCATGATCAAGTGGGGTTTATCCCAGGGATGCAAGGATTCTTCAGTATACTCCAATCAATCAATGTGATACACCATATTATCAAATTGAAGAATAAAAACCATATGATCATCTCAGTAGATGCAGAAAAAGCTTGTAACAAAATTCAACACCCATTTATGATAAAAACTCTCCAGAAAGTGGGCACAGAGGGAACCTACCTCAACATAATAAAGGCCATGTACGACAAACCCACAGCAAACATCATCCTCAATAGGGGAAAAACTGAAAGCATTTCCTCTAAGATCAGGAACAAGACAGGGATGTCCACTCTTGCCACTATTATTCAACATAGGTTTGGAAGCCCTAGCCACGGCAATCAGAGAAGAAAAAGAAATGAAAAGAATCCAAATTGGAAACAAAGAAGTAAAACTGTCACTGTTTGCAGATGACATGATTCTATACGTAGAGAGTCATAAAGATGCCACCAGAAAACTACTAGAGCTAATCAATGAACTCGGTAAAGTTGCAGGATACAAAATTAATGCACAGAAATCTCTTGCATCCCTATACACTAACAACGAAAGATCAGATAGGGAAATTAAGGAAACAATCCTATTCACCATTGCAGCAAAAAGAATAAAATACCTAGGAATAAACCTACCTAAGGAGGTAAAAGACCTGTACTCAGAAAAATATAAGACACTGATGAAAGAAATCAAAGATGACACAGATGGAGAGATATACTACGTTCTTGGATTGGAAGAATCAATATTGTGAAAATGACTATACTACCCACAGCAATCTACAGATTCAGTGCAATCCCTATCAAATTACCAATGGCATTTTTTTTTTTTTTTTACAGAACTACAACAAAAAAATCTTAAAATCTGTATGGAGACACAAGAGACCCCAAGTAGCCAAAGCAATCTTGAGGGGAAAAAATGGAGCTGGAAGAATAAGACTCCCTAACTTCATACTATACTACAAAGCTACAGTAATCAAGACAATATGGTACTGGCACAAAAACAGAAATACAGATCAATAGCACAGGATAGAAAGCCCAGAGATAAACCCACACACCTGTGGTCAACTAATCTATGACGAAGGAGACAAGGATATACGATGGAGAAAAGACAGCCTCTTGTATAAGTGGTGCTTGGAAAGCTGGACAGCCACATGTAAAAGAATGAAATTAGAACACTCCCTAACACCATACACAAAAATCAACTCAAAGTGGATTAGAGACCTAAATATAAGACCGGACACTATAAAACTCTTAGAGGAAAACATAGAACTCTCTGACATAAATCACAGCAAGATCTTTTTTGACTCATCTCCGAAAGTAATGGATATAAAACCAAAAATAAACAAGTGGGACCTAATGAAACTTAAAATCTTTTCCACAGCAAAGGAAACTCTAAAGAAGAGAAAAAGACAGCCCTACCGAAGGGAGAAAATATCTGCGGACGAATCAACGGACAAAGCATTAACCTCCAAAATACATACACAGCTCATGCAGCTCAATTAAAAAAAAAAAAAAAAAAATCCCCAATCCAAAAATGGGCAGAAGACCTAAACAGACATTTCTCCAAAGAAGACACACAGATGGCCAAGAGGCACAGGAAAAGCTGCTCAATGCCACTAATTATTAGAGAAATGCAAATCAAAACTACAGTGAGGTATCACCTCACACCAGTTAGAATGGGCATCATCAGAAAATCTACAAACAAGAAATGCTGGAGAGGGTGTGGAGAAAAGGGAACCCTCTT